CCAAATTCATACCCTACAACCTCCTTCCTCCTCTCAACCCAATCCCTCATTAACTCTCCCAAAAAACCGCCCAAACTCCACGAAATCCAAATCTAGGAATTCCATAAAACCCTAATTTTTCTTTTCTGATTTTTCGCACAATTCCAACTCGATTTAACCTAAATCTTGCGTTAATAGATTACTCTCAACAAGAGCAATCGATTGACGATAGTTTTGAGTCATTTCGAGATCATCGGATTTGGGCAGACTCGCCAGATTCCGGCCAGAATTCATCGGTTCTATTCGTCCACCGGAGTTCGTTCATTATTTCTTCTGAGTTAAATTGGGGTAATGTCTCTTGCTGTTTTTCCTTCATCGTCGTTCTCCTGCTTAGCTTGCATGTTTAGTTTTAGGTTAATTTCAGTGTTTATTAGAATTTGTTAAATCCTCATCTCAATAGTTTGTCTAACAGGTTTTAACAGTCTTCTTTGGTAAGATTCGTTTTGGTGTTAGGGTGTTGATGATTTCTGTTTCCGGTTCTTTTCAGAGATTGGTTCATGCTAAATTTGTTTAGGGTTAAGTTTAGTTTAAAGGCTTAATTGCATAGTGTTCTGTTTCTTTAGTCTTCGATTTGTGTTAATTCTTGCTTTACTTTGTTGGTCCTAATTTGTAAACAGATAGAAACTTGTAGCGGTTAATTGAACAATAAAGAAACTTAGGGGGGGGGGGTCATTAGAAGGGTAATGGAATAGGAATTTCAGATAAGGCCAATGAAAGAAGGGTCTAGAATATGGGCAGCTGCCCTCAAATGGTTAGCAAAAATGTTGAAACCAATGAGGGACAGCCAGCTGTCCGAGTTGTTAAAAAATGCCTTGTGGCTGAAAGGAATCATTCCCTTATCCTTTTTAGCACATGGCACTCTTTAAGAGCTATTTATATAGAACCCTTCTTCATTCATTTGGATAGATTTTTCAGACCCTAAAAAACACCCCAAAACTTCAGCTCTATTGTTTTCATTGTTAGCTACTCTTCATTCTAAATTTTACAAAAATTAGAACAAAAATTCTGAAAAATTTCTGGTCGCCCAAGTCGAGATATGGATTGAGCTTGAAGCTGAGTACTGCTGTTCCTAGTTGCTAATTTCGTTTCTGTTTGCTGGCTCTTTTTGCTTTCAGCTCCCTCACCTTATTTTGTATTTCATAATCAGGCACCTCTCAACTCTAGGTGACTATGAGAATTACAAACGTGTTGTTAATGAAGCCATGTTCATGTTATTTAAAGATGTGATTATAATATGAATCTCATGTTCAAATTTTATATTTCAATTCTTTCCTATATGTTTCCTATCATCCCTTCCCACTGTTTTGTAATTCTGTATTTAGCTTTATTTTAGGATCTTGGACTTATTATGATAGTTGTGATCTGGCTAGGGGTCTTTATGTTTGTGTATTCAAAAGTAGTTTAGTTTTGTGGTGTTGTTTGAAGGCCAGGGTGATGGATGTTGTTGATAGTTTTTTTTGTGTCCAATTTCACCCTTTGTTTCAAAGAGATTCAATGGTTTAAATGCCAAATCATGGTTCCGATATTAGCTTAGAAGTACGTTTATAATGAAAAGGGTTATGTGACTAGTTTTATGTGATTAGTTAGTAGTTTATGGTAATTTAAGTTAGTATAGTACTAATATTGTTAATTAGCTAAGATCTGTAATATGTAGTCAGTAGTTTTGATTTCCAGGATTTGTGTAGTAGTTGTTAATTGTATTCAGAGGGCCAGCAGGCTTCAGCAACAAATTGGGCCAAAAGTGGGCCTAGATGGATGGCCTGGTCAGGATCACCTCTGGTGTGGTTCTGGACCCTTTTCTCATATGTTGGGCTAATTTCAAGGCCCAACAGTGTCAGCATTTGTTTTTTTATAAAAGGATTGTGATCAAATAGCCTATTGGGCCTTCTGCAGGCCTTGCTCACCCTAAAATAGTCAGAAATTGCCATGCCTACCTAATTTGCTTCAGCAATTTTGTTTATTAAACTTTCAGCTTAGTATAATAAATATGGGCTTCTAGTACTGAAGGCACAATTGTGCGAATTTGGGCCTGGTATTTGTCCCACTTGAAGTTGTGTGACCGTTTGCCCTTGTCTTCGCTCCTGGGCTCGATTTTGAGCCCCGTTTTCTTATTTCCCTTTTTTTGTAAAAAAAAAAAAAAGAAAGTCTTTAAATAATTTTAGGCTTAATGTTAGCTCAGATTTTTCTTAGATAAGTAAAGGCTCAGCATATCACTTTTATTTACTTACAATCAGTAGCTATACATTAAATTCCAAACTTAGTTTAAAAAGATGAATATTCGTAGCTTGCTTTAGGCACGTTCAACATACCATCGTGGTTGTGTACACGTTCTGTGACATAATTACTATCTTAAAAACAAAATCGGAGTATGTGTTCGCGCAACTTCGACTAAAATTTCTTAATAATAACAAAGCGTTATTAATTGTGGACACGTTTGCGTGATATAATTCTTGACGCGCCAAACTAATGAGTACACGTACACGTGACTCGTTTTAGGATAATTTCTTAATTAAAAGCGGTAAGATGGTAGATGCATATGGGTTTAAAATAAGTAATTAGACAATTTAATTAAGCCAAGTACGATTAAAGCGACCGTGCTAAAACCAAGGAACCCGGAAATTCCTAATACCTTCTCCCGGGTAAACAGAATTCCTTACCCGAATTTCTGTATTTCGCGGACTGTAAAAAAGAGTCAAACTTTCTCGATTCAGGATTTTAAACCGGCAACTTGGGACACCATAAATTATCCCAAGTGGCGACTCTGAATTTGAATAAATAATCTCGTTTCGATTATTGTCACTTTAATTGGAAAAACTCCCTTAATACCCCATTTTCGGGTAGAAAAAGGAGGTGTGACAGCTCTGGCGACTCTGTTGGGGATCGAACCCAGAATCTCTGGTTCAGGGTTCAAGAATTCGAGCTTTTAATATGATTTTTACTTGGATTTATTTATTGTTGCTATTACTGTATTTCGTGAACCTAATGTGCTAATTGCTGATTACTTGTCATTTCAATATTGCTTGAATTTTATTAAAATGCCTTCTTACGCCACCCTTCTGAGTCTTCTAAAATATGGTGCACACGTACGCGTGGCCCACTTTCTGTTAAAAGTCATACCAATTAGAACGGGGCTTGGGTCAGCAACAAGGCCCGGTAGACTTTCGTGCTCCCGATACGTTGCCCCCACCTCGGCTCGAGCTGTTCGCTTGGGCAAGGCAGGTCTAGAATACAACCCCAGGTTTAAACCTAGAATAACATAACCTCATGTCGGATCTCTAGTAGGAATGTTTGCTTGCATCACGTGCATTTGACTTAGGGGACTCAACACAGGGGTTGGGTCCGTCTAGGACAGGTGTACCCAAAATAACAGACCATCATAATACATCTTACGTGCTATGTGAATATTTATTTGTTTCGGCCTGCATGCTGACCGGTTAGGAAAAGAAAATCAAGGGAAAAACCAAGAGTGATGTAGGAAGGATATAAAACCCGATTCTAAAAATCTCGGTATCTGAAAATATCCCGAAACTCTGCCGAAATTTCTTCAAAAAAGAGGGGTTTGAAAAACAAAAAAAAGAAGAAAAAAAGAGTCATATCAAAACGAGTCATTCATGTTTTTTTAAATTATGTAAAAACTGACCGAACTACGCAGGTCTGATTCTCACCGGATGTGGGATACATAGGCAACCTACATAGGGTTCGGCCTCTTTTTTGCAAATTAACCAAATAAAATGAAGTGTAGTTAGGGCTCTAGCCAAAGAATAAGCCGACCCAGCTTCGGTTATGTCTTAAGCCGTTCTTACCGAGATAGCCTTAGAATATTTGTCAATTGTCGAAGGGCTATTTTCATAGAGAACGAACAAGTCTGTCAGTGGGGGGTCATTTTTCTAAAGTGTCCTCCCCTGGCCTCAAAATTTACTTGAAATTGTGAAGGGGCCACATTTACAAAAGCAACCACTTTGTGTAGAGGGGAAAGGGCCATTTTTCCTTTGATTTTTTTATTTATTCCTTTGGGAGTTAAGAACTGTTTCCGCAAAAGTCCACCAGAGTCAGCCCTAACCTTAACCATCCACAGGTACCAAGATGAACACTGTCCAGAACCCGGAACTATTGGTCATAGAACAGGCTCAGTTGCAGTTGCGTATGTGGTGGTAAGATTTGGACGAAGATGGTCAGGATTGGGTGAAAGAGCAGTTGGGTGCCCTTATGGACATTTTGGAAATCAAACCACGGGAGGATTTAATCAAGGGCTTGGTAACCTTTTGGGATCCTGTGCACAATGTGTTTTGTTTCTCAGATTTCGAGCTCACCCCTACTCTAGAGGAAATAGCTGGATACATTCACTTTGGCCGGGACTTGAGAAAACAACAGCTTATATTCCCATGGGCCCTCTTTGTGCACAAATTCTTCGATCTTCTTAATATCAGCAAACAAATGAAGAAGGCTCATATGAACAAAGGATATTGTTCCTTTCAATTTTTGTATTCCAGATTTGGGCATTCAGTCGGGTTCAAAACACACGAAAAAGGATTGAACAACAAACAGGACAAGAGCATTTGGCAAATCCATCGTAGGTTCACTTTCATAGTGGCGTTCTTGGGGATCATAGTTTTTCTGAATGTAGAGGGAATGATAGATATCCGCATGGCCAGAGTTGCACAAATCCTCACTAAAAAGAAAGATCATACACTTGCTCCTTTAGTGTTGGCAGACATTTATCGGGCATTGACATTATGTAGATTCGGGGCTCAATTCTTTGAAGGCTGTAATGTTCTTCTACAAATGTGGTTGATCGAGCATCTTGGCCATCACCCCAAATTCATGAGCTATGGTTCAAGCAAAGATAACTTCATCAAGAGTTACGAGAAAAGGGTGAAGGACTACAATGCTCCAGAAGGGTTTGAAGCCTGGGTCTCCCACTTGAAAACTCTAAAAGCAAGTCAGGTCGAGTGGACTATAGGATGGCTTCCGCTGATGGAAATCATACATATGACGGCTACAAAGGGTTAACTAATATTGATTGGTTTGAGGTATGTTCAGCCATATGCACCGTAGAGGGTCTTAAGGCAATTGGGGAGATATCAGGTGGTGCTCGAGGATGAAGATCTAACCAGCCAGGTCATTGAGCTACATCCAGAAGCTACATTGCCAGAAGCTTTAGTTCAGCAAGATTGGAATGGTTGCCGATATTTGAAAAACGGCACCCAGGTACCAGATGTTGCAAAGGGGGAAGTGGATCCGGATTATGCAGTGTGGTTTGAGAGAAAGTCTTGTGCAAGTAATGAGCCAGAACCCGAACCAGAGCCCGAGAGACCAGAAGAGAGACCGCATATCCAGGCTTTTGATGACAAAGTCAGGGAAAGGTTGGCCTGGGGAGAGAAAGAGAAAAGTATCAAGCCGCCATTCACACTCTGGAAGAGAAATTGAGAAACGTTGAGTTCAATAATGATCTACAAATGTACGAAGCCGAAGGAGAAAAAAAAGGTTGGTCCAGGAAAATAAAGCCCTCCGAGCTCAAATTCAAAGGATGAAGATCGCCGCTGAAAATCCGGCCAAAAGCAGACAAGATGAGAAACTCATAAACAGTCTTAGACGGAAGGTGTATGATTACGGGACTGACTTGGAAAAGGCCGAAGAGGAATTGGCTAAGACCCGATCAAGGTTGGCACAGAATGCAAAAGGGCGGGCAAAATTTGTTGAACGACTAAAGGATAGAGATGACAAAGAGGCCACAGTGCTAAAGAAGAAGCTGACTACCCAAGAAAATGAGATGGCCCAGCAAGCGAAGAACTTCAAGTCAGAAAAGGAGCATTGTTATGCACTGATTAGCCAACTGGAGGAAAGCATGCAACAGTTACGGGATCAAAACAATGCGGATACCCAAGTGTTGGAAGCTCGGGCACAGCAAATAGGGCGTTTGCTTTAGGAGAAAGGTGTCATCAGAATGAGGGTTAAAGAAATAGCCAACTATGTCGTGATGAAATGTCACGAATGTGAGGACATGACTAGGGTGATGTTTTTTGCTTCTGTGATGACATTCTTTCGCCAGGTAATGGCCTACTTACCGTCTTCAGTAGGATATTGCACAAAGGCCCGCACAAAGACCGGATGATGTTCCATAGGCTCCCAGGGCACCGGTGGAGGCTCTTATGTACTCCTGACTTTCTGTTGGACTTATGATATAAACCCTTCAGGTTTTCATGCTCGATGAACGATTGATAACAATTGACCGTTCGGGGTTCGATCCTCAAGTCAGATTTCGACCCGAGGCTATCGACCCTTAAGTTTTTAACACGTCAGCCCTTAGGCTCTATAGATCGGCCCTTAGGCTTTTCTGCATTGGCCCTTAGGCTCTTTAGGCTTGCTCTTAGGCTCTTACGCATTGTCCCTTAGGCTCTTTAGGTTGGCCCTTAGGCTCTTACTTATTGGCCCTTAGGCTCTTTAGGCTGGCCCTAGGCTCTTACGAATTGGCCCTTAGGCTCTTTAGGCTGGCCCTTAGGCTCTTACACATTGGCCCTTAGGCTCTTTCAGCTAGCTCTTGGGCTTTTATGCATTGGCCCTTAGGCTCTTTTGGCTGGCCCTTAGGCTCTTACGCATTGGCCCTTAGGCTCTTTTCAGACTGGGTCGATGCGACCTCTAATATGGCTTATATTTTTCCCTCATTTTGGCTAAAGACTTTTGAAGTTTTGATTATGCCTTGGCATGTTTTGTGTTCGTCCGACTCTTCAACAGCTCAAACGAGAACCTCGATTATGAGTTGATGAGTGACGATAGCTGAGTACCTCGGGAGGTTTGCTCGAAGGCTGAATTTTCGAAACCTCTTCATCGAAGGCTGATTGTTTTCGAAGCCTTTTTTATTGTTCAGAACTGATATTTATCGAAGCTCCATTGCTTATGCCGAGGGTAGCCTGATTAACCGGTTTTTTTCGAAGTCTTTTCGAATTATTTGGAGGCATTTAGTTGTATGGCAGTAGTCGGACGTCTCCGAGCCGCGTTAATTCAGCCGTAGCCTTTTAGTTTGGCCGTAGTCTTTATGTTTGGTCGTAGCCCTAATCCCCGTGTGCGGTGACCTTGGCGTCTATATTGGGGGTATGCCTTTTTTAGGGGTCTTACAAGTTCGAATATATAGCCTTGGCCGTAATATCGGGGTTATGCCTTTTTAAGGTCTTATAAATTTGAGCACGTCTTGTTGAGGTCTTACATATTTGATGTTGCCTCACTGAGGGCTTACGAGCTCGAAGTTGTCTGATCGAGGTCTTATGAATTCGAGTCTTTGATGGCTCGATGAGCTGACTGTCGATGACAGTCCCCGAGCGTTCAAGAATTTTTGGCTTTTGAGCCATTTTGCATGACAATAGCAAACTTCTTTGAGGCACACAGTGTTAGCAGAGAGGCTTCTTTGATTATTTGATATATGTGTACATGTTCTTGCTTTCGGAGGCTCGATTGTTCTACATGGACACGATTCATTCGACCGTTTGGCCCAATACAATATTTTCCTACCGAGGTCCCCTTAGGCATAACTCGATCTTCTCGAAAAGATACCTCCGAGGAGGATGCCCCCCAGTATTCGAGGTTGATTGAGAAGAAGCCTTGAATACTTGTTGAGTTCGCCTTAGGTATTATATAGATGTCGCCTCGTTAAAAAACCTCGCCAGTAAAACCCATTTGGAATAAAACCCGATCTTAGTAATAATAGCATTTGAGCATCGATATGTTCCAATTGCTTGGAAGTTGCTCGCCTTCCATGGTGCCAAGTTTGTAGGACCCTTTGCTTACTACTCCGAGGACGCGGTACGGTCCTTCCCAGCTCAGGCCTAGCTACTAGAGGTCCGTCGAACGTCCTTCTATATAGTGTTCCATTCTCGTCGAGTGAAAATCGAGCTGCTTTGGCTCGAAGGGCCCTCGATTCTTTTGGGTCTGTGGGCAGCTTCCCGTTTTTCAAATAGTCGATGTATTTATTCCTCCAATCCCATGTTAGACTTGTTGAGTTGATCTCGGCGTGGCCTTCTTCAATCATCGACTTGGATAACTGTACAACGGCTCCCGGGAGTATGTCATCTTCTTTGACGGACGACCCCAGGTTCGCGAGTGCATCGGCCTCACTGTTATGATCTCGAGGAATGTGGACCAGAGTCCATTCTTTGAAGCGATGCAATGTGACTTGAAGTTTGTCTAAGTATCTTTGCATCCTGTCTTCTCGAACCTCGAAGCTCCAATTTACTTGGTTGACTACCAAAAGGGAGTCGCAATTTGCTTTGACGACTTCTGCTCCTAGGCTCTTGGCCAGCTCGAGACCTGCAATCATAGCCTCATACTTGGCCTCATTGTTAGTTAACTTCGAAGTTTTTATAGATTGCCTAATCATTCCGCCATTAGGCGGTTTCAGAACGATGCCGAGCTCGGACCCTTTCACGTTCGAGGCACCGTCGGTGAATAGGGTCCATACCCCCGATGGTGTGCCAGTTTTTAGCAAAAGTTCTTTCTCTACATCGGGCACGAGGGCAGGCGTAAAATCGGCCAGGAAGTCTACCAAAATTTGGGACTTGATAGCCGTTCGGGGTTGGTACTTGATATCATACCCTTCGAGCTCGATGGCCCATTTGGCCAATCGGCCCGATAATTTAGGTTTGTGCAAGATGTTTCGAAGATGGTATGTTGTTAAAACACATATACGATGGCATTGAAAATAAGGTTATAATTTTCGAGATGCACTTATTAATGCAAGAGCTAATTTTTCTAAGTGTGGATACCTGGTTTCAGCATCTCCTAGAGTCCGACTTACGTAATAAATAGGGAATTGCGTACCTTGTTCTTCCCGAACCAACACACCACTTACTGCTACCTCGGATACGGCCAGATACAAGTACAACGTTTCGTCGTCCTTCGGGGGGGGGGGGGAGCAAAGGCGGGCTCGAGAGATACCGCTTTAACTCCTCTAAAGCATGTTGGCATTCCGGAGTCCACTCAAAGCTGCTTTTCTTCTTGAGCAAGGAGAAGAAATGATGACTCCGATCCGACGATCTCGAGATGAATCGGCCTAAGGCCGCTGTACGGCCTTCACATTGTTCACTACTGTGATTTCTTCAATAGCCTTGATTTTGTCGGGGTTGATCTCGATCCCCCTATTCGACACCATGAAGCCTAAAAATTTGCCCGATCCTATTCCGAATGCACATTTCTCGGGGTTAAGCTTCAAGTTGTAGCTTCTAAGGATATCAAATATTTCCTGCAAATGAGTCAAATGGTCCTCTGCGCGCAGGGACTTAACTAGCATGTCATCAATGTAAACTTCCATAGATTGGCCTACTTGATGTTCGAACATCCTATTAACTAGGCGTTGGTACGTAGCCCCTGCATTTTTTAGCCCGAAAGGCATTACATTATAATAGTACGTACCATACTTCGTGAGGAACGAAGTCTTTTCCCTGTCCTCTGGGTTCATTTGAATTTGATTATACCCGGAGTAGGCATCGAGAAAAGTGAGGATCTCGTGGCTGGCCGTGGCATCGATCAAGCGATCGATGTTGGGTAATGGGAATGAGTCTTTGGGGCATGCTTTATTCAAGTCTTTATAATCTATGCACATTCTTAATTTATTTCCTTTTTTGGGAACCACTACCACGTTAGAAAACCATTCGGGATATTTTACCTCCCTAATTGATCCTATTTTCAGGAGTTTTGCTACCTCGTCTTTGATGAACGCATGTTTTACCTCGGATTGAGGCCTCCTTTTTTGCTTTACTGGTTTGAACCTAGGGTCGACACTTAGTCGATGGGTGGTTATTTCCGGCGGGATCCATGTCATGTCTAAATAGGACCAAGCAAAGCAATCAATGTTGTTAATAAGAAATTGGATGAGCTTTTTCCTGAGTTCGGGGGTTAATCCCGTTCCCAGGTATACCTTTCGATCTGGAAGACGTTCGATCAGGACGGCCTGTTTGAGTTCTTCGATCGTTGATTTTGTTGCATCCGATTCCTCGGGGGAAACGAAGGTTCGAGGGGTGAGGATGTCTTCTTCGTCATCTCTTGAATGCTCACAGACCACCTGTTCCTCGGGGGTCAGCCTGTTCCCTGGCTCATCCTGGACGAGGAGAGTCGATGTTGGTGTCATGTCGTTTACCGCGAACATCTCCTTAGCTGCATGCTGTTCTTCGTACACTATTTTTATACCATCTTTTGTGGGGAACTTCATCATCTGATGAAGAGTTGATGGTACCGCCCTCATGTTGTGTATCCACGGTCTTCCAAGTAAGGCATCTCATGTCACCTTCGATGACATGAAACTTGGTGTCTTGCACTGTGCCGGACATATTGACTGGGAGGATGATTTCTCCCTTCGTTGTCTCACTTGCCATGTTGAACCCATTGAGGACTCGAGAGGTGGGTACGATCTGATCGAGCAGTCCGAGCTGCTCCACCACCTTCGACCTGATTATGTTGGCCGAGCTACCTGGATCCACGAGCACACGTTTAATTTGAACGTTATTCAAAAGGAAAGAAATTACCAATGCATCATTATGTGGTAGGGACAAGGCCTCGATGTCTTCTTTTCTAAATGTAAGGGCGTTCTCGGGTATATAAGTCCGAGTTGGCCTTTCCGTTGCGATGGGCACTTTGGCCTGTTTGAACATGGGTCCCTACGGGACGTCGGTTCCTCCAACGATCATGTGAATGATGTGATGAGGTTCTTCAGGTTCATCCCTTCCGTTCGTCTCTCTTTCTCGAAAGTGGTCCTTGGCTCGATTGCTGAGGAATTCTCGAAGGTTCCCTTCGTTAATCAGTCCGGGCCACCTCCTCTCGGAGCTATCTACAATCCTCGGTCCTAGGACCGTGAATGCCATGGTATTCGCACATCAAGTTGGGGTTCCTTCAGGAAGGATCTGACTGTGCGGGCTTTGGCCATCTGGTATCCCTGATTCTACCCATGGCTAATACGATGTCTGAGACATCAATGTTGAAGTTGTATTCCGACAATTGGGGTGCCTCCATTGGCCTCGAGTGCCTGTCAAACCCGGTCTTGCTCATAAGTCCCCGGGAATTTTGGCCTCGATCTATTCCTCAATCATTTCGAGGTATATTCCGCCTCGAAGTGTCTCTTCGATCTTTGAAGTATGGAGGGTACCTTTCTTTGCCTGATCTTGACTCCCTTTCTGTAGACTTTGATTCCTTTGCTAGGAGCCTGCTTGGACATACTGACCCAGAGGGGGCTCCCAATTGGTCGTCCTCGACCCTGATCTTGATATCTGTTGTGTACATCTGCCCAGGTCACATATCTGTTGCTAGGAGCTATCGAGCTTCGCTCGTTCAAGCCCTAAGTGAAGGCCTACACTGCTCAGTCATCGGAGATCGGTGGTAATTCCATTCACTCCATCTGGAAGCGAGATACAAATTCCCTCAGCATCCCGTTCTCTTTGTTTGATTTTGAAGACATCAGACTTCCTGGTGGCGACCTTGATGGCACTAGCGTGTGCCTTCACAAAAGAGTCTGCTAACATGGCAAATGAATCTATTGAATTTGGGGGTAGGTTTTGATACCACATCACAACCCCATTTGACAGTGTTTCTCCAAAATCTTTCAACAAGACGGACTCAATTTCGTCATCCTTTAAGTCGTTCCCCTTTACAGCACAAGTGTAAGCAATAATGTGCTCATTGGGGTCCGTGGTCCCGTTATAATTCGGGACATCGGGCATTCTGAATTTCTTCGGGATAGGCTTTGGAGCCGCGCTTGGGGGAATGGTTTCTGTATGAACTTCTTTGAATCTACGCCCTTCAGAATCGGGGATGCGCCTGGGATCTGATCGACTCTCGAGTTATAAGTCTCCACTTTTTTATCGTTAGCCTCTATCTTCTTTTCTCCTGATCCAATCCTTTTGGCGAGGTCCTCGAGCATCTTCATAATAGCGGGGTCTGCTGCTGACCCGTTGTTACTCGATCTCTCTAGTGCCTGCTCGACTCGAGGAGCCGTTTCCGGTGCTGCTGTGCTTGGAGTTTTCTATTGACTTTGTAGCTGAGCGATAGCCACTTGTTGTGCTTGCAACATCTCAAGAATGACTTGAAGGCTAACTTCTCTTAACTTCTGAGCTGGAGTCCCCTGTGCTTCATGCTGGTTTTCCCCGCGCACACTTCCGCCGGTATGAGAGCTTACATCGACATGCGCAGCGTTGCGCGAGCTCACGTCGACGGGGATTTGTGCTGGTGCCGCCCCTGGGTTTGGCGGTGGTACACCGACATCTGCACCGTTCTCTCCATGAGGCCCAATACCGTTGTTTTCACGTGCATTTGCTGAGTTAGACATTTTGACCTGAAATCAGAGATTCTTGGACAAGAAAAAGTGTGAAGAATAACTTGTGTTTTCAGAAAACTAGGACCAAAACAATCACTATTATTTTTAGCCCCACAGTGGGCACCAAACAGTTTACCTTGAAAATGGTAATAACAATTATATTTGATTTTGTGGTTCTAAAGATATGCAATTTATTTTAATACTAGTTGTTAGGCAATAGATGCTAAGTTAAATGAAGAGAATAGGAAATGCAAACCAAAGCTACCGCAAAATCGAGCCTCGAGCTGGCTGGAACAGAGGCTTCGAGGCCTATTTAGGGCAGTTGGCTACGAACTATTGATGAAGGAACAATGATAATGGAGGCCTCAAAGATAGCGTTTTGCGGTTAATAATGAGCAATAAATGAAGAGCAATGAATGAATAACGAGGAAATAAGCAGTAAATGTGTAGTAACTGTTTAAGCATGTTCAAAGAATAGCATAGAATGTTGTATTGTATTCAATATGTTGTGTCCCCCTTACAAAATGACAAGGGTCCCCTTTATATAGGGGGTGGGGGGTGGGGGAAGAGAATCCCCACATGGTACATGCCTAATAATGACGAGAAAATGCTACTGGTACAGCTACACAACGGCTCAGTAATGATTCGTACTATTTCTCGCAGATTCTGTCAGTTCTAAACACGTGCCCTCGGGAACCTCGATATACCCTCTCGAGGTGAGTGCTTCGAGCTCATCGAGGCCGGGCTCGAAAATGCCATAAAAGCCTTAAAATCGACCTTCCCTGATTTTGACCGTATACACAATATATTTGCATATTCGGTTGTCATCTTATCAAACACGGAAAAAGATCCCAAAATATATATATATATATATATATATATATATATATATATATATATATATATATATATATATATATATATATTCGTCAATTAGTTCATTTTATTGGCACAAGGCGACCGGATCACGTGTAAAATGCATAAATGGAAAAACATAAATTTTTTGAGTGACAAGCAGGAAGCAAAGAGGCAATTTTAAGTCAATCATTCAACATTTAGATCATTGCATGCTGAATCCGCATGGCAGGCAATTTTATTTACACTCATTTCCTTTTCCATAATAAATCTTTTTGGAGGCATATCACGGCCTTGGGAGAGATTCTACCTTCATGAATTCTAATTTTTTTATTAGAAGGACAAACTCCTCAGAACCACAAGAAAATGTTAGTAAATGAAACTATCACATCCCCTTGACAATAAGACTGGTATATGACCTTCACACGGGCAACATGAATTGCCTCCTTAATTACCATGTCTAATTGGTCCAAGGCAGATAATAAGAGTATTCCTCCAATGCAACTTTATTCCTAATAACAAAAGTGAGCAGAAAATTGAAAAAAATTCAATCACCACGACACTTTGAATTCTGAAGCTTCTTAAGCTTTATTTAAACAAACCATTTTGTAAAGTGCAAAGTAGGAGAAGAATTAATATACATTGCATAATAGTTCTAAGTACCAACATCTTACGCAACATAACAAACGCCTTGGCCCAAAATCAGAAACAAAACAAAAAAGCAATTGGAGTGCCAAGAAATCAGAAATGGTTGTCGAGGTGACTTAATGTGAATGAGTTTTAAAAATCTAAAATAACTTTTAATTAAACAAAATTCAACAAACAATCAATAATTAATCCACAATAGCAATAATGACAGATCACACTGCAACAACTCAAGAAGCAGGGAAAGGATAGAAAAGCAAAAACTCAATGGAATTCATAACTTGCAAGGCTGGTACAACCAACTCTCAAAATGACATATAACATTAATTGTTAGATAATCAACTAAGGATGACTACAAGTAGTTCGGGAGAGAAAATTGCAGAAAACATAAACTAGTGGCTCTAATAGCATAATCACTATCCTAAAAAAACATAGCGGGGGGTTTTAGGGAGACAGCAGAAAACCTAAAGTCCCCTTAGGAAAAGATATATATAACAGGTCATTAGTCATCTGAAATTTGAGACCTCAGTACTTCCAATTTGTCAACACTCTCAGCGCTTGCTGCCTTCAACCGGCTCTGTTGAAACGCATAAAGTGTTTCTTACCTTGGTAGTAAAACTCCACACCCTCAGAACCAATGTTAATTTCCCCAATGCTGTTACTGTTTAGCCATTGGCCTCCTAATACCATGTCACAATTTGACGACAATGGAAGTAGATATAAATCCACACTAAACAGGGTACCTTGCAATGACAATTGAAAGTTGTTGCATGCTCTGGAGGTTACCATAGTCCCAAAAGCTGCGCGAACAGATCGAGGCTTGATTGGAAATGTGTCACAGCCTAGCTTATCTGCAAACGATTCATCAATAAAATTGTGCGTAGTCCCCCCCTACTCCAAATAGGATATTCACGGGTTGCTTCCCATGGTATCCAGTCACCCAGGCACCTCCGTCTGGAATGGAATATTCTACTACAGCGTCAAACGATATCGCCATTGGTTTTTCCTCTGTAGTCACGGTTGGAACGTCAACAACAACCTTAGGGGTGGTTAGAGTTTCTCCGCGTCCCTAAAATATGAATCCACACAATAGAGCCAATATTACAAATCATCACAAGAGAAATTTTGGAAACTCAAATCTAGAGACGAAGGCGAGTGAAAAAGAGGAGTTATAGTTGAACTCCATAGGGTTTTGTATTGTACCTTAAGCGTAGATGAGTTGCCATACCCGGCAGCAGAGGAAGCATTCACGGCTGGTTTCTCGGGCTCGAAATCCCCTTTTCCTTTCAGTTGATTCTTCAACGACTTAACGGTTTCCTTCAGCTCTAGAATTGCTTGATCAGACTTGTCCTGTCTGTCACGCAATACTCCAAATAGCCTCCCGATTAGGGCACGCATTTCCTTCATCTCCATGGCGGTAGTTGTGGTTTGCTTGTTTTCATTAGCCATCTCAAAGAGAAGAAGAAGAAGAGAGAGAATTCAGAGAGGAATTAGGGTTTTTGTTCATAGTCTGCAACAGAGTACAACAGGACTATTTATTCCTAAGGAAAGTAGTAGTCCAAGATTTTCTGTAAATTGAATTTCATTCTTTAATTAATCAAAGCTAATTATTTTAACATTTAAATTAATTTTGTGAATTTGTTGGACGTAAACTTTAATTACAAATATACTATAACTATAAGTATTTTTAATTTGTTATAAATAGAATTGTATTTATGGTGAATGTCTATATTTAGAAAGATTCTAGGGCTCATTGCTTGATGGCTAAGTCACCCTCTCCCTATAAATAAAGAGTTCTATTTTATTGTAATTCATCCCAAATCAATAAGAATTCTCTCCCTCTACTTTTCTCTGCACTACTCTTCTTCTTCTTTTATTATTTTATAACACGTTATCAACACGAGACTCTAACCAACTGAGTAGAAGCTTTGGGATTGATCATAATGATTGTCAATTGTTTTCCTTCATGCTTAAATTTTGGATTTAAGGTAAGTATTTTACTTTGTTTTTCTCTTTTAAATTCTTGAAATTCTATAATTTGATTTTATATACAAGCAAAGACAATAAATTTTGATTACAACTCTAATAGAGTTTGTAAGAAATTATAACCACCCGAAGTGGTAAAATTTCTATGTCTTGCCATGATCAAAGTCATGTATGATCGTGAGCACAAGAAGTGAAAACCCGTCCCATTGAATTTGCTCCATTCTCATTCCCTTAAGAGAATGTGATAGCAATATGTGATAAATCTGAATGCAGACAAAATTGTTACCGTGAAGGTATCAATGGATGTGGACGTGGCAATAGACGAAATTATAATCGTCATCATTGTGATAACGAGAATAATAAGGATTCTCAAAATAATCCTTCACTCTGTGAAAGTAATATTTGTCATCGATTTGACATGAGATTTTATAAAGCACATATAGATGATTATGGTCCATTCATGATGTGAATGTGACAACATCTTATTTATGAATACATATTCATTCTTGGAAGAATATGAACGTGCTAGTGGTAGTGAATATACCACACTCACCTCTAGAAGGAGGTTTGAGATTATATAAGAAAATAATGTCGTTATTATGGCATGAATGGTCATTGGTCACGTACCTATTGTATGCCAAAATATTTTGGCATTGTGATTATTAAAAGACAACGGTAATGCAAGAAACGGATCTTGCATATAAATTTGACCATAACCATAATGGTATAACTTTCTCCTTAAAAGAGATATTCACCATATGATATTGATGAATATGTGGTAGTACAAAATTAACTGAGAGCTCTGGAAGAGCCAATTATTATTATTTTGGAGGAATAAAATTGATTATCAATAAGGTATGTAGTAAGTCTCAAAGAAACTTATTCAGTTTCCAAAGTATACGCGAAAGCCGTTGATTATATTGAGACTATAAATAAAGGAAAGATTTAATATCTTCTATTACTACAACTTGTAGCGGGGTAATATGTATGTGAAAAGCTACCCGCTTTATTCTCATATTTGTACTACATAAACAAAAGAATACCACAATGAAGTGGATATTTATTGATATAAAAACCTATATTTATTCATAATTGCACACATCATGGTGTAAACCTGAAGTTTATCAATATTGATAATTTATCCAGTTGGCATAATTGGGTTAGCCATGTTAATTCAAGTATGATGTGCAAAAAATAAAAGAGAATTCACATGGGTAAATATTAAAGAACTAGAAAGTTCTTTAAGAATTCTCTTAAATTGCTTGTTCTCATTAATTAATAGACCAATTAAAATTGAAATTGAATCTCATGAATGCTGGAAATATCAAAGGTGAATATGGGCCCATTCACCTGCCATGTATACCACATAAGATGCATCTATGAGATGGTTACATGTGCAATTATTATTGACCCGCAACCTGGTGCTTGCGAGGTAACGTGCTCAATAATTTAATTTCGAGCATAATCCAGATTTCCTATTCAAGATAGTTTATCTTGATAAGTTGGCTTACATCACAGTTGGTTTAGCAAAATAATTTATTGAGTGCCTCCACTTAATAGCTAAACTATTGCTTTTGAGAACAAAATTATCTATATCAGTTTGATATAGGTTATATACGAAAGTATATTACATTCTCCCCTCACAAGTGGTTTCAGGTTCAGGAACCAAATAATTCCATCTCATTATTATTGATGTGCGGTGTATATTTTGATTAACACTATAACGCACAAAGATGGGTTCTCAAAGTTGAAAAAACAAGTTAGTTTTTCTAACATGAGGGGGAGACAAGATACAACAGTTGAGAAAAAGTTACATGGAATGAATTATCATTTATACATCTAGATCCCCGAATAAAATAATATGAACTTGAAGTTCATAAAAGGATAATTCATTTGCAATATATTGCAAAGCATGCCAGACGCATTTGCTGACCCAAAGAAAGTAACTATATTCTCATTGCAAATGCTCCTATTAAGTCCTAGAAGGACAAAGTCTATGGTACGCTTGAAGCGTATAGACAAATCGGTTTCAAATAAACTTCTTGATAAAGAAGATGAGCAAATGATCAAAATGATCATAATAAAGGAGGCAAGTGATCTAGAAGATCACATGACATAATGCTTCATAAAATCTCAATAGAGGTTTAGGTACCTGAAATGAATGAAGAGATCTCTATGTTATGTCTTTATTAAAATGTTGGAACGCATATAAATGTTCGTCGATGACATCTATGATACCACTAAATATATATGGGATCTTAAGTCTGGTGAAACAATTCAAATAGAATTGGTTTCATATGAAAAGCATGTAGTTTTGAACATGTACGGTTCACAACACTTGAAAGTATAAAGTCAATGGTATGTGCAATTAGTTTTCGATATCTTATATGTCTAGCATGACATGAAAACTTGATATGCATCTAAAGTCAACTAGATGGCTTATATGACTTAACTTATATGACAATCCATGAAGGATTTAAGTTGCTTGAAGCATATACATTTCTTGATCTTGAAGTACCACTTGCTCAGTGCAATTTGTGCACAAATGTATCTTGCTATAACTATATGCATGATAATACGATAGCAAGGGTTTTCACCCCTATATGAAGATATTGAAATGATGATTCCAACAAGATCATATGAAGACAATACATCTATCAGGGATGATGATTTCAAGGTGAAACAAATTCGTTGAAGTTAATATGGCTGATATTGTTTATCAAATCTCTACCAAAGATCTTTTGAAGATGGTGCACAAGATTGGAATGCAAATGCTTGAGAATGTGAATTGATGCTCTCATCAGGGGGAGTTAATACGCGTTGTACTCTTTTTCCCTTACAACGTTTTGTCCCACTGGGTTTTTCTTGCAAGGTTTTTACGAGGCAACCAAAAGGCGTATTATTAGATATGTGTACTCTTTTTCCTTTTCTAGAATTTTTTTTTCCACTGGGTTTTATTTTAGTTAAGGTTTTAACGAGGCATATTATCTGTTGAATAGACATTCAAGGGGGAGTGTTATATATAGAATTGTATTTATGGTGAATGTCTATATTTAGAGAGATTCTAGGGTTCATTGCTTGGTGGCTAAGTCACCCTCTCCCTATAAATAGAGAGTTCTATTCTATTGTAATTCATCCCAAATCAATAAGAATTCTCTCCCTCTACTTTTATCTGCACTACTCTTCTTCTTCTTTTATTATTTTATAACATAATTAAATTTATGTATAATTCAGTTATGGTAGGTATCTTTTTTGAGAAAGAATCAATTAAAATTCGTTTTTTATCTTACACATTAATTTTAAGTTGAAATAATAATTCTATATTTAGTACAAGCTTTGTATTTGATCTTATTTGCGAACAATATACATTATTATAGGTATCTTTAATTAAATTTTGTGTATAATTCAGTTATGGTAGTTATTCTTTTTTAAGAAAGAAATAATTAAATAAATATTTTTTATTTATGAGTTTTGGTATCTTTAATTAAATTTTGTGTATAATTCAATTATGGTAGGTATCCTTTTTTGAGAAAGAATCAATTAAAATTTCATTGTGTATCTTACACATTAATTTTAAGTTGAAATAATAAATCTATATTTAGTACAAGCTTTGTATCTAACCTTATTTGCGAACAATATACATTATTATATGTATCTTTAATTAAATTTTGTGTATAATTCAGCTATGGTAAGTATTTTTTTTTTAAGAAAGAAATAATTAAATAAACATTTTTATGAGTTTTAGTATTTTTAATTAAATTTTGTGTATAATTCAATTATGGTAGGTATCATTTTTTGAGAAAGAATCAATTACAATTTCATTTTGTATCCTGCACATTAGTTTTAAGTTGAAATAATAATTCTATATTTAGTACAAGCTTTGTATATGACCTTATTTGCGAACAATATACATTATTATATGTATCTTTAATTAAATTTGTGTATAATTCATTTATGGTAAGTATTTTTTTTAAAAAAGAAATAATTAAATAAACATTTTATATCTTACACTTATATTATATTAAAGGAAATAGTATTAGAAAAACGAACAAGAGGACAAAGGAAAAAGACAAGAAAAATTAAGGTTTGGTGGTTAACAACTTTTAATTAACCACAAAAAAAAAAACCTTGAAAATTAAAAAATGTCAAAAGCTAAAAAAAAGAAGATTCGTAATGAAAAAAAAGAAGAAAGATTCGTATCATTTCTTCATAACTCACACAAACAAATTAATTTACACATGCCTTTTTTAAATATTAGGATTTCATATACTTATTTATTTATTATGATAGTTTTTCCTTACAAAATCTTTATTTAAGCAACTTTTCTTTAGGGTTGGCTTCTCTACATTGTTTAGGGTTTAACTTCCACACAAACTTCTACAAAGTATGACTCCAAACTATAACTATATCAGATTATGGCACATTCCAGACCGCAAGAAACCAGAAAAGTCTAATTCAATTGAATTAATTATTCAAGATGAAAAGGTGCATACTTTTTATACATGTTATTTTTTTCGAGTTGTGAAGCATATGGT